CCCCGCCCCATCCCCCGGCCCAACACAAGAGCGGCCACGCTTGTTATCCACATCCGAACGACAATAAGACCCGCACGGCTAACCTAAATAGTTATAGAAGCGAGGTCCGACCGGGCCCCGAGTTACCTGACTGAGGTGCGCCAGCCGCGCGCCCGGCGGCAGCGTGCTGCTGCGGCCCCCGCCCCCGCCTCCGGCCCCGCCCTCGCCTGCCCCCAACACACGGCACATACAGCTCACGTACCACACACTGCGCTCACTGCGCACACTGCGCACACCTCGCTCCGCACAACACCAGCACTAGATCGGGACCTTGCGACAGGTGTCGCACTCAACCTCCCGCTGTATTGATCTACTCTTCTAGTCCCTCTTGTATCGCATCGTGGTGAGAGAGGACAGAGCGAGATGTCTGACAGTGTACATACAACATGCACATGTCTCCGTAATGCTGCACGCGCAACTTGCACAGAGCACACACTGTTGTGTTACAACATATGGAAGACATCATTTTAATGTAAAGTATTGCGGCCGTCACAAAATTTCCATATCGATGTAAAGAAATCATTTATTCTTACTGATGAAATTTTTTTATTATTAATTATAAGAATTTGAATCTTTTATAATTTTTTTAATTATTCAGTAACAAGACTTTAAGTTAGAAACTGTGTGAAGGCAAACGTGCGAATGCAAAATCACTGCGCAAATGAATATCCTACTGAAAACATTATATCATGACATTTTATACTAAAATAAATAAAATAAAAGTACAACAAAATGTATGAATTAAACATATAATAAAAAGTGAAGGAAATAATGAACATGAAAGAAAGAGATGAGAGACATGAGGTGTGCAAGTCTCAAGGTGAACCATGTACGAGTACATGACATTATGTAATATGATGCAAACAATATATAATGTTCCTATAGGTTTAGTTAAATGTCAGTACAGAAAGGTGCGCGTGTAACAGAGATGTCATGCACAAGCTACAGTGTACTACAATGATGCAGGATGCAGGATGCAGGATGCGAGAAGAGAAGCTGACAAAGTAACATGACACGTGTCCATGCAATACTGAATGACTCCGGATGCGGCAGAGTAATCGCGGGACGAACATAAGCGGGTCAGGGAGAAATATCTGCAGTCAGCTCACCTGTAGCCGGGAGCCGCACGAGGCATACTCTCACTCCTCGCTCGTATCATGTTTATATGACCGCAAGGCTAAGTGTAATATTGTCGTCTGTTGTACACACGGGAACTAGCACACAAATGTCGTTAGCGACCATTCCTTAGTTTGCTTTAGTAAGTCACAAATAAGTCGGCGGCCTTCGAGTTCTCAAGGAAATGACTTCAGCATGGCGGGGCATGGCGGGGCATGGCGGGGCAGCGCGCGGACACGGACAATGGGGAGAGAAACTGCACTTTGCTCGCTGTACATGTCAGCTGCTTCGAGAGAGTGATTGTAGCACTGACTGTACAACACTTATTGTATGCACAAGGAACTCTGTGGACTGTAGTCATAGCAACGATTTCCCTCAAATTTTACTCAAAAATTAAAAAATAGAGATTGAGAGATTTGGGAACAAAAATTATAAAAAGGAACACATTTTCTTAAACCGCTAGCTTCACGTATAAAATTAGAGAGAGGACAGTACACTCTTGACGCAAGCTTTCAGTTTTTCTCCCCATTATAATAATATTACGATGTTATTCTAAAAATCACCAATATTAATTGCAGAGGAATGAGGAAATATTAGTTCATATAAATCCAAAGAAAATAGTTAAATTTAATTAGCGTACATTTGTGTTGGAACATATCATTGTCTCTGTCTGCTCAGTGACAACGACAGAGATGACAACATGTTTTGTGCAAACACAGTCACTGAGAGCGGTGCAGTTAATTTATAGTTAGTACATATATGTGATGTGATGATGTTCGATTCAAAGTAAAATGTCATCAAAGTATTGTTCGTAAAATAACTTGTTTGTTTAAGTGTGAGTTTCGAGTGGCGCGCCACTGCCGCTGTCGCTGTGTGTGGGCTGTGTGTGGGCTATGTGTAGGCTGTGTGTGGGCTGTGTGCGGGCT